GCTCTTCCGATCTAAACTGGAATCGCTAAAGTGGCATTTTCGTAGATTTTCGTAGACTCGATTTCGAGATCTCGGAATTGACTGCACCGATTTCATTCGGACTGGTCTCAATCGAAAGCTCGTATCGACATTAAATAATGAAAATGTCATTAGATTTTTCATTGGTACTTTCGTATCCGAGATATTAAAATCGGAAATCTGGCGAGGCGAGGCGAACTTCGAGAAAGCTAGCGGTAGCGCCTCGACAATGCCAGTGCCGTATACTCACAGGTCATCACCCGACTTTTATATACTTCGCGTCGCTTGATAAAACGAGTACGTTAATAAAATAGAAGACATCAGAATGATAAAAATAGCTAAAGATAAGTTATCAATAAATAAAGGAAGACTGGATGACTCAGGAAGCGTGGAATCTTCCTGGTTGAAGCTAGAAGTGACAATCTCAGATAAAATTAAGATATTCTTGAAGAATTAATTCTTGAAGAAGAGAGGAACAGGCGATAGTCGAGAGCAAAAGAATAAAGAAAAAAAAGAAATATTTTACGTTTATTGAATCAATTATTAATTAAATTATTAAATAATTTGGCGAAAAGACAGAATACGGATAATTATACTTTTAGAACGTATGATAAATTTATACTTAAAATATGAAACATTGATTAGATATGGCTTGAAATCCCATATTGTGTAACAATTTATCTCGTTAAAACCTCGTTAAAAATACCGATCGCGCGTGAGATACCGATCACGTACCGATAAGTTTTGCTCGACAACAACTTGTGACAAAACGTCGGCTGAAAACAAGAAATTTTCTCGGTGAGTTTGTCAAGTGATAATTCTGCGTCGTAAGAACGTCAGCAGTAAATGTCGTTATCGAGAGTCAAGCGAGCGAAGTATATCGCCGGACATTTTCTGTCGTTAGATCCGCCACGAAACCAAACCCAATGTCGAGCGCGGAGTACACATGACAAAAGAAAGAAGAAACAAATCGAAAAAACGATGGATACATAAACGAATTCGACGTCTTTCTCTTTATCTTTTTATCGTTGGCCTATCGAGCTCAAGAAAGCGTGTCGGTGATATCGACGAGATTTCCTCTCATCGTCGTCCTCTCATCACGGACAGTTAATGTTGATTTGTGCAGATCCGGCAATAACCGACGTTTTTCTATTGTACAGCCAACCGTATAGACAGGCTTTAATAAAATAATAGATATGCGTTTAAACTCGCGTTTAAGTAATGGTGAAGTGTAATGACTTCGAATATAAATTTCCATTATTTAATATAATATAAAATTATCTGTTCAGAAAATAGGATAATAAAATAAGATTTGCTTAAAAAAAAAACTAATTCGTTATATATGTATGTTTAAATGCATTTTTGCCACAAAAGTAGAATAATTCACGGTAAAACTTCATCAATTCTTCTCTCTCTTGCACTTTTACATATTATTATGATATTATTATATATTAATAGATTGCATATTTTTTAATATTATTTAAAATTGCCTTAATATTGAGGTCTCAACCCATTACTTCAAATATATAATTGTATGTACAAATAGTAATATCAAATAGTTTTTACGTTTTTAATAATAATTGTTTAAAACTAAATATTCTTTTTTTAAATTAAAATTTATTATTTTTATATTATAAATATTACTCTATATTTAGTATATTTTTATTTTTTATTATCTCTTAATTTATTTAAAAATCAATCGAAATAATTAATATACAATCTGCTGAATAATTTGATTTCATCGTTCGTTTAATCTGAACGCTGAAACCATATTATTAAGTAAAGAGATTCTTCAATTATAAATCTCCATTTTCTTTGACGGTATCCTTGAAATTAATATGCCGCATTGCGTTAGCGCAAAGACCTGTTACAATTCCTACACGGTGAGAAAGGAGCCACCATTCTCTCAGGGAAGAGAATATATTTCTTGTAAAATCGTAATTCATCGACACTATTGAAGAAATCAAATTAGCAATTTCCGCTTCTATTGTCACACCTTGGGAATGCTCTAATAAGAAAGCTATTAAATCACGTGTAGCTATGATGTCAATAGAGATTTCAGATTTGGATATCATAAAGATTTGGAAATAAAATAATCATTTTTTCATATGTGCTTCTTTATATGACTAATGTTATTTTTACCTGCATTATATATTGATTAATATTATCTTTTTCATAGAAAATGTTATAAGACGAATACAACAAAATGCATTTGAAATTCTTCGGGTTTTGAAAACAAAAAATAATTAACTTTTTTCAATACTAAATATTTTTAACGAATGAATCTTGTATGTACGAAATACTCTACTGCCTGTGATTTTTTAAAGCTTTTGTTTGCTATTAAGATTGTGCGTGTTTATACACATAGCATTAAAAGGATTATGGATATTTTGATAATTTGTAATAATTAACTGACTTGTGAGTGAAATTTCGAAACTCTATTATTAATAGAATTAGTAAATAGAGAAGTCATGATTTTCGTACTTATTTTTTAAACTATTTCTAATTGTAAATGAATAGACATATTTTTTAGTTTATTTACGATCGTTTAAAACAAAAATTATTCACAATTATAATAATTTTTTTAAGCCCTATAATAAAAAGACGGTGGGGTCGTCCAAACCTCTGTATGGTAACCATATACGAAAAATAAATGTGTATAGCTTGGGTTAAGAAAAATATTTTTCAAATCTTAATTTTGAAAACAAATATCTCGTGTAATATAAAAAAAAATTATAATTGTAAAATTATTTTTACCTGATCTGCTCATAAGAAATTGCCCGCTTTTTCCAGGGCACACTCTATTTATTACAAAGTTATAATGATTTCCGTAACATTCTTTCTATTACAAAGTTATAATATTTTATTTAATTGATGCATAAAAACAGAAAGATCATATAGTACAAAGATACACAAGATGACGCGTTAATAAAACCAATTGTGTATTTATATGTGTATTTCGAATTTAGAACAAAAATAATAATTAATTATAAAAATGTAGAGAAAAGAAGCACAAAAAATGTTTTTATAGAAAAATATATGAAGAATTAATATAAATATGTAATGAATAAAAATATTCTGATATAATATTATAGATTAAAGTTCTAATTTAATGGATTGCATATGAAAATAAAAAATATATATTACATATGAAAATAAAAAAAACAAATTAAAATTATATCAACAGGTCAAATTATTTCAAGAATACAGAATGTATAATATATGTATACATGCACAAGTTCTTTTTATAAAACAATACTTACAACAGATTGTGAAAAAATTTTTTTTACCAATATAACGACCATTAGAATGACAGACTTTGTTTCGCAAAATGTATCCTTGTAACTCTAATGCTCGTGATAAAGAAAACACTTAGTCGTCGACACGCGTGACTAACTACATATGCAAAATTGCATATGCACAGTAACACACATCACTATTGTGTCTAAAGTACAACGTTTTGTACGTCTGTACGTTACGCAACCACGTATGCCACGCAGACGTTTATGCAATATTTACACCTTGTTTTTTATTTATTATTCCCTTATTTTATGCAATTTCACATCGGAAAAATCAGTCAAATTACATTCGTTATTTACATTAAATATTAGACAAATGTTGTTTCTTCTAAAAAGACACCCACTTATTTCTCAGAACGTTGCATTTTATTAATTAACTGATAAAAAAATAATCTGTTTAAATATAATTAAAGAAGTAAAAACTCATAATTCATATATTTGTAACTTGTTTCAATACAAAATCAGCTAAAAATAAATCTTATAAATGTGAAAATAATACTCTTACGATTTTCTTTTACAAATTGTGTAATTTAAATAATATTGGATATATTATTGTTAATATTATATTGTTTTGTTTGTCATGTTTGTAGTTTCCTAAAACTGCTCAATTTGTTTATATTTCTCTTTCTTATTTTTGTCAGTTGATTGTTATCGGAGGCTCATTTTGTTGCTTATCTTACAAAAATGTTAAATATAGTAAAATTCCAAACAGTATTATAAAATATTGTTACCTATATTATCTAGACAGAATCATCATTTTCTAGTTTGTATTTATTTTAAAAATTTAAAAATTTTAGCTTTTGTTTAAGAAATATAATCTAAAAACAAAGTGGTATGACAGTAACGGCGATCTTCCTCTTTTATTAGTGCGAATATACATTTGCATTATTTATAATACTCATTACATGTTGTGAATAAAATAAAAAGCAAAATTTATTAAATTAAATAAATTTTTTAAAAGGCAGAAAAGAAAAAGGGAGGGAAGAGAAAAAGGAGAAAGAAAGAGTTTGAAAGAAAAAAGATGATCTTGCTGAAATTGTAATTTAAAATGAAAGAAAAAAGATTCAATTGCTGAAATTAATAAATAATAATAAATAATAATATCGAATTGTATTTTGTGAGATTAGTATTGA